TGCAAAGACATTGAGCATGCCCAGCTATCCCCCCATCCACCCTGCGCCCCACCAGCCACATCTCCCCAGCTCGATGTACGGGGGGCAGCCGGAGAGTTCGACTCCGGCGTCGCCTTCCAGCTTCTGCCTCCCCCATGCCCTTCCCCTCCTCCCCTGCCTCTCTTTCTCTGCTTCCCCAGATATGTCCCAGGGATGTCTGGGTAATGACAAACGTAGGGGCTCCGGGGTACGTCTGCAAGCCAGGGTTTCCTGCTTGCAGACACAGCCCCATGCAGAGTACAGGGGAATCCCTCTGCAAAGTGTGTACTCTGCTCCGTGCTGCTGCTAGGAATGTGTCTTGGGTCACTGGCAGGATTCCTCCCCCCTTGTAGATGTGCCCCAAGTCAGGCATAGCCACCAGAGGCACCTACGGGTGTCCCTGGGGCACCATCAGTTGCATCACATATCATGCTGATCAGGCTCCACTGAAGACAGGTTTCTAGCCTGTGAGGTACCTAGAATAACACTTTGCCTCAGAAGAATCTCAACTATTTCACCTTCATTGCCATTTAAGCCTCCTGTATTGATGCAGGTCCTATCCCAGCCTAATCAGGGTCTCAAACTGGTCGTTTGTTGTTAGCCCTACTGCAAGCTCAGCTCCCACTTTCTCTCTGAAGTACCAAGGTAACACTTTCTGTCCCCCACCCCCCGGAATAATCAGAGCCAAGTCCAGTTAGTTGCTATTCAAGCTTCCCATAAACTACTGGCCCAGGGCTGATCTGATGAGAGTCAAAACCTAGGACAATCAGACAACCCTGGGGTTTTTCTTTTAGACTCACCACCAGGAACAAATATAGTATAGGACAATTCAATGCATGCTTGAACTAAAAAGTTTTTCTTGAATGACAAAATACCATTTTAAGTTGTGTTGGTCTTGAATATTTGTTATCAGACCACATCTGTAGAGTCAGCAAATATCCCCTCAGAATGATTCTAAGCCCTTCTTGTGAGCTGTTACATTTCTGCAGACCTGCTGCAGGCAATGCACAGGAGTGCAGATAGGTGAATAAAGTCATTTTTTTTAAACTACTGGTCAGTGCCTAAGCAAGGAATCCAGCTTGACTTCTGCTCCCAGACTGAGTAGTTTACAGTAATTTGCAGCTGACAGCTCTTTATAAAAACTTACCAAGTTTATCTGGAAGGTCATTGAGTACATGCATGCAACCTGCTGGTGCCATTCTAACCACTTTTCAAGCTGAACCGTATATTAATGAAAGAGTAAATAAAAGGCAAAAATAGCCCAAAATTAGATTTGGAACATCAGCACTCTGATCCAGAAAACACCAAGGCCACTTCTTCCCTTATTTAAATTAATGGCCTGCATTTCCATCTTCACACTTGTCCCAGGTGGCAGCTTTGAAAGAGGCTCAAGCTGTATGCCAACACCAGTCTCAGTTGCTCAAATGGACAGCCAAAAAGCTTTCTTCATTAACAATACTCTAGGGAAAAAAAAAATCAGCATTACAACTAGGCACAAGCAAAGTCTTCTTAATTTTTAATATTTGGCCAACAAAAAGCCCAACACCTGGAAAATACGAGATTAAAACCTGCACCTAGACATATAGTCATCATGCTGCTGCTGCTGGAAAGTAGTAAATACTTCAGTTCTCTCCCTACTTCCCCCAAGCATTTCCATTATGGAATAAAATTATTCTTTGGAGCGAGAGCTAAAATGTGATCCATCTCCTCTCTAAAAGAAAAACTCTCTCATCCAGACCTTTAAAACAACATCCTCAAACCTTTCAAATATTAGCATTTAATTCACAGCCATTCCAGGCTCAAATGCTGGTTTTTAATGTCCCCAAGAAGGTGACAGAACAGTAACACAAAACTCTTATGCCGGTGCCTCCACCCATTTTAGGGCTTCTACCTCACAATCCACTTGTTCTTTTAATGCTTTAAGGCTAACTGCTACTGTGTCCCTTCACCCCACCTTGATGCTGGTCAAGTATAGGAATGCTCAGGCCATGAACAGTAAAATCCCATCTAACAACAGGTTTTTCATCATAATTTCTGCTCTACTACAGGTCAGAATATCTCCTCCCATCCTATCTACTTTCTGAAAGTGAAGGAAAGATCTGTAAACCTCTCTAGAAGAACAGTAGCATTTAAAAAAAGGTGTGGGTGGATAGTTAGGGTTTTATTTAGGTTAAAAGGTTTCAAGTGTGAACAGTTTAGTAATTTTTTAGTCAGATATTTAGAAGGTAATATGAGCACTGTACTCTTCCTCTCCACAAATACAGCTTAATCAGGAGTGGGCAATTATTTCAAGCGGAGGGCCACTTACTGAGTTTTGGCAAGCCATTGAGGGCCACATGGCAGGCAGCCAGGGACAGATAAATATTAATTTTCTAAATTTTTTAGGGGCCCCGCGGGCCAGATAGAACGGCCTGGTGGGCCACATCTGGCCCACGGGCCACATTTTGCCCACCCCTGGCTTAATGGCTTAGAATTCAAAGCAAAGAGCAACAAAGGAAGAATATTTCTGATAAAAAGATCTGCAGGGGAGCCTGCTGTTGCACCAACATGGAAAGTTTAGGGAGATAATAGATAATAGTCCATGAAACAGAACAATGCAAGACCATGGAGAAGAAAAAATGAATCCGAAATTAAATCTGACACTAAATGTTTAGTTCAGTACAGCTATTTGTAAATGGGGATGAGACAAGGGCTCTGTTATACTCCGTAGAAAGAAAACAGCAGAAGCCTGCACTTGCTGGTGTCCAGAGAACTGAAAATCTGAACCAAACAAAGTACTTGAAAATTACAGTTTAGGAAAAAATGTTGTCTCAGAAGGAGGAAGGGAGGGACTCTATACATTTTATCCAAGTGTGAAGTGGACATTTCTGTTACAGGGAAACCCTCTATTAATGTTAACAGACTTATCTAGGCCTTTTTCTAGTTTCCATTTTGCCAATCTAGTGTTTAGTTTAAAAAGTTAAATGCAAAGGTAATTTTAAAAATTCGTTTCTTGATCTTCAGTTATTGTGTATATACAATTTGAATTTCTTCTACTTCCCTCCACTGCTTGGCCCAGAAATCAAACACCAGAGCCAAAATTTTAAACAAATTTCGAAGGAGAGAGGTAGTTACTGTATTAGTTTTAAAATCAGGCAAAAGACAGGGCAGGGTGGTACCTTCACCTGTGAAAGCTTATGCCTCTCTGGACCAGTTAGTCTCCAAGTATTTCAATACCAACTGTTCAGGGCCACTCAGTGAAAAAACCCCCCAAAAAGCAGCAGAACCAAGAAAATATGCCTAGTCCTAATGCACCACATGGCCCTTACAGTGAATCTGGTTTCTTTTCCATATGAAAAGATATATACATCCTTTAAAAAAATGTGTAGATATAAAGGTAGATATGCTGGGCAAGTAGTTTCCCTAGGATTTAAAAAATAAAACCATGTTCACAGTGAAGTAGTCAGTACTGGGCGCATCTACAGAAGATGCTACGGCGTAGTAGCAATGAGATACTGCACGGTAGCTCATTGCTACCATGCAGTAGCGCTGCTGGGCACTAACTGTGATGTGACGCTGCTGCGCCGTAGCAATGAGCTACTGAACAGTAGCTTGTTGCTACGGCACAGCAGCATCAGGAAAAAACCATGTGGCAACAGTACTGCACAGTAACGCTGATTACTGCACTGGTCATTTATTATTTGCATAAGCAAGTGCTTATGCAAGTACTAAATGGACTGTGCAGTAAAAACTGTGCAGTCCTCCACATGTGTAGATGCAGCCACTGTGAACCAAAATTTCTTAAGGGGATCAATACACAAATAACCCCTTAAGAATCAAAACAGGTGATCCAAAATCTGGAGAAGCCAACACTGATGGTATTTTTTTTTTAATGCCATACTAAAATTTGATGCTGGTACGTAAACATTTTTTACTCTAGTATTTTACAACAAAATTTCTAAATTCTGTTTACAATAGAGAGGAAGTAAAGTTCCTGAAGATAATACAATATCAGCTGAAGAATTTTTAATCCAGTTTATTAAATATTGCTTTTTTGGGGGACATGTTTACAACAAGCCCAAATAATTTGTTTAAGGATTCAAAGCAGTCATATTAAAATACAGCTTCAATATAAAGTTTGTCACAGTTTTACAGTATTCAAAATGACAGACCTGCCTTAAAAAAAGACTATTACACCAAAACATAACAAAAAACAAACAAGTTTGGCATTTTCATAATCTTTATAGTATAAAACAGAATATTAAATCTATTACCAGCAAGCTGATACTTCAATCTATTACCTAGTCTGAAATGTCTCCCATTAAAACACACTATACAACAGCACTATACAAAAATTATGTTAATGACCATTTGATGAAAGTGCATCCCTGAAAATTTGCCAGTTTATTATATTTAGCTCTTTTTAAAAAAGTGTAACCTGTTAAAACATCCTCTTTTTTAATTGAAGGCTTATTTCAGAGATTGATTTTTTGGGGGGCTGTTTTGTCTCTTGCTTTTCAGCCTTCTTTTTAAAAGTGTCTATGGACGCCCACCAGGGGGCAGGGTAAGATTGAGCATCAAATCACGAACAGCTGCAAAGATTGTGCATTCACCTAGAGAAAACGGAAAAGAAATGTTAGAATAATTTCAAATTAGAATTCAGCAATCACAGGGTTAATTCAGTTTGTAAGAAGCCAGGAAAAGGTTGACTGCTGAGGTATTTTATAATTGTTAAAAATTGCTTTAAAATGACACTTCACTACATTGGCTGGTTTAACAGTTTTAAACCATTCTCTCTGATAGTTTTAACTTTAGCATAGAAAGACAAGTACTTTCTTTAAAGCCTTACTTTGAAATTGCAGGTCCCATCGACCTCAAGGTCTTAGCATTCTAAAACCAACATCTGCACAAGTTCTGTGCCTCCAGCAGGAGTTTCCAAAGCTATCTGCTCCACAAGGAGGCAAGATACAGAAAGGTAACAGCTAAAGTAACTGCAGCCTGCATGTCTCAGCAAGATGTCTATTGCCAGCCATGTATTAGGAAGCTGCTGCTGAAAGCAAATCTTAAGCTATGCTTTAATACCTTTTGAACCTACTGAATTTGAGAGGCATGGTATCTGGAGTCAGCAAGTAGAGCACAGAGAGTTTAAGAATTCCATTGTGCTATACTGCCCCATGGTTTGGTTCCATAAAGCTTTAATATAAAATGTTTCCAATTCCAAGTCAGGACAAGAGACAAAAACCTCAAAGTTTTTGTAAAGTAAAACCAAAAGGAGGTAAAGAAGAAGACAATACTTCTTACAGAATACAATAAAAGCATTAATAGTACCAGAAGTACAATGGCTGACATAGTAAAAAGGAACTGTAAGGTCATAGACTGCCTTATTTTCCATCCTGCCAAGTCCCTTTCTAGGAACTGGGCTCTCACATAAGAGAAGACATGGACAGAATCCAAAACACTGGCCCACAAAGAGCGCTGTAGCCTTACTCATATGTGCATTCCAATTAATTAATTAAAAAAACAACAAATGAACTCAAGGCTGTTTGTCCCCCCTCCTCTCTAATCTCTCCACAGCTGCTAAAATGTATCAGTAACTGAAGGTGAAATATTAATGTAAAGCTTGTATCAGAATCTACAGAAATTGTGTGGCCCTGCCAATTTAAAAATCACTCCAACCAAAACAGAAAGTATTGCATGAGGTCAGAAAAAATAAGTAAAGAGCAGCACAGTTCACCTTGCACGTTCTTTCCTTTTAACCCAGTCACTGGTATGCTTTAGAAACAGTTACTGTCCTTTCAAGTGTTTGTGTCAGAACTGAAATTGATTTAGCATCTATAAACCATTTAAATCCAAACACTTTACAGCCTATTTGAAAAAAAAGTTGAATTTTTCATGACATGCAAGAGAACACTGCTAGAACATATAAGCAAGAGACAAACCATAACAGTAGAATATATGTAGTGAGCCTTTAAAAATCTGACATTCTAAACACAGCTTTTCTATTGTTATTTACACTATATGGCTGCAATAGTACATGCATTTTACATCCTTGGTAAACAATATAATACAGCTTGTGCTTAGAAGGTTATAGCAATGGACAATTAGCTTGTGTTCCTAGTAATGATCACTTACACATGCATTAACCCTCTTGAGACTGCTCAAGAAAGAAGTTGATGGTGGGGTGGGGGGAGGAAATCAAGAAATATTCAGATTTAAAAAGAGATTCAGTAGATCTGGCTATTTGTCATATATGCCTGGATGGAGAGAATTTATTTACTGGATATGTACAGTACCTGGTCGTGGTGAATTCAGTTCAGCAAACCTCTTCAGAATATTGCTAACCATCATGGGAGCAGCGACAGAAGAGTTCTGTTGCCTGGGAATGTCTGCCTGTTGTGTTGTACCTGAAGCCATATCATAAATAATTGGGACAATAATACTAACAGCTTCCTGTGGGACTGTCGTTTTCTGCGTTAACTGAAGCTGTATGGAAAAGAAAGTGCATTAAGGTAAGACAGGAGTTTTTTCAACATATGCTTATTATCACTGCCTTGTTACGTCAGGTTCTAATGTACAGTCATACATTTTACTATTTCCTAAAATAACTATTCCAATGTGAAGAATCTCTTAAATAATTTCACACAGACATATGTGTGCATACAAATAAAAGGTTCTACTCAAGAATATACCAAGGTATATTGAGGTATATAGTCATGGCTATTGAGTCCCCCCCATCATGCTTATGTACTACCTACGTACTACTTGGTATGGTAGGCCCAAAATAAAAAAAGTTGAATAGCACAGATAAACTTCTTATATGATTAAACAATTCTTGATCTCACCCATTTTGCATGCTCACGCCTATAGTATCTTTAACCAGGTTTGCCTTGCTCTGGTTTAGGGAAAATGCAGGCAGCTATTTCATAGCGCCTCAGCCAGGAACACAATGACTACAGGACAGGCATGCAAAGTGGCATTTGCAGTTCACGGAAAATTTAATTTTAGAATGTCCTATCACAACACCTCCACAAAGAGCAGGAAGAAACACCTTACACAGGAAGAATTAATTGGGTCAGTTTCACAGAAGAGAAACAAGCTGCTGAACTCATTAGAGGAAATACTGCTACCCTGGTACTTTAGCAACAGCAAACACTTTCAGACACCATGGTTACTATCCAAGAGTAACTGCACCATGTGAAGTCAAAAACCATATTTAGACAGCCCGCTAATAAGTTAGCAATTCTGCTCATTGCACATAGTATCCTCCATGTAACTTTTAAAGAATAGCAATAAAAAGAAAACATACTTACAAAAAACAACATTTTGGATTTCAGCACCACAGCAGGTGTTCCAGGAGGTGCAATTGGTGGGGCACTGGGAGGAATAGTTAAGCAAAACTGCACATTCCACTTCAGCTGACTTGCCTGATCAGGGAACTGTTTTAAAAAACAAAAATGCTACAGGTAATACCATACAGCCGTATAAAGGGGATAGTGGCATAGGCTGGCATAATAAATTATGTCCCATAACCTAGACTTTCCAAGTTTTCAGATGGTTTTGAAGTTAATTCAGTTAGAACTAAAGCAAGTCTCCTGCTTGTGAATAGTCTTGGCACATCTAAAATGAAAAAAGCAATGTAAAAAACTACTAAGCAGACATGCAGTTGTGCAATCTCTCAAGCCCATCATGTCATGGAAGGATTTTTTTTTTTTTTGCTGACTTTAGTGTTATAGTGAAGTCATCCTTTTTCTATGTCCTGCATGTCTGTATTTAATGTATTAGTAGATGAAGATACAGAATCTGAAGAACAGAATTAGATTCTGAAGGTCACCACAGATTTTTTCTCAAGTGTGGGTACAGGAACAGAGCAGCCAATGGGCATGTGTACACATTGCCCTACGTCACCGTAGTGACACGCTACTTCACTGTATGGTGCACTACAACAACGCAGGGAACATGCAAGTCCACGCGTGATTGGCAGCTACTTCGCTGCAGAGGTGAAAACTAACTGTGCACACGTCACAGTCTGGACAGTTACTGCACTGTGCTTTTAGTACTTCCAAAAGGAAACACTAAAGCACGGTGCCATAGAAATGCTGCCATACGGCAACATGTATATGCATCCAACATAGAGTAATTGCATTTAAAGGTAAAACTTACCAGCTCAAGTTTCATGATGTGTACACAGTCCCTGAGGATGTGTGTAGGAGCTCCTAGCAATTTTGTAAAGGCTATTAGGGTGTTTGCTTTAAATGGTGGTCCTGCAACCTACAGTAATAAACCAACAATTAGGACTGTTCATTTAGAAAAAGATTGTGCTGAATAATTAACTGACAAATATGCATGCATTAATCTTTGTTCTTCTAGTACATTTTTTACTCGTATTACTAGTTCCATTAAAATTAGTAGTACTTGAGTAACAGGACAAAGCTCATATTAAAAAAAGATGCATACAAAACAAGGTATCAAATGTTAATGGTTTAAGTACATACCCTTGTTTCAAAAAATTTCTCCAAAACTTGTAGTTCCTCTGGTTTCCACTGTACTGCATTCTCAGGAGTTACTTTTAGTTGCAAAGTCTGGTTGGTTTTGGGACTGAGAGCAACCCTGCACTTCAGTGCATCCGTTTTAAACATTATCACACCTGGTTCATTGGAGTTTATTAGCTGTAACTATAAAAACAGGAACAATGCATCTGATTAGTAGTCAAGAAACAGCATGAGAACAAAAACTTACTTTCCAAAAGTGAAGGGGGGGTGTTGTTTTGTTTTCTGGGAAGATTTCATAGACTTTAGGGCTGGAAGGGACCTCGGAAGATCAACTCAATCATGTTTTTGCCATCTAAAATATGCAGTCAATAAACACAGACCAATAAGCATAAACAACAAAAAAGAAAAAATTGGTGCTTTACTCAGCTTTTTTTGCACTGTTCTCAAAGCACCAGGGGTAAGAAACCAGCCATAATGCCACAACTATAGATTCCTCCATGCTGGAAGAAACAGTAGGCATATGGCAAATATACAGCAAAAGCTTTGTTATCTGGCAGCCATGGGGGGTGCTGGATAACCAAATATGCCAGTTACCTGAGGGGTCCGAACAGGCATCTTTGCCTGTTCAGGCCACTGCCTCCCACCGCGTCCAGTGCACCACCACCCCTCCTGCTGCGTCAGCGTGCTGGGAGACAGGGAAGGGGGCCCTGTGCAGGCTGCTTTGCCCTAGGCCGCTGGGGCTCAGCAAAACTGGAAGTGCCACAGTGGACACTTCCAGTTTTGCTTTTACCTTACAAACCAGCATGCTGGTTAATGAGCATGCCGGTTTGTAAGGTGCCAGAGAACGCAGTTTTTACTGTAGTTACTTCCTGTGCCAGTGATCCCCCTCCATTTCTAAGGTGCAGATCCCAGCTGGGACATAATGGACTCTGGTCATTTCTGGCTGGTAAATGACTCCTCCTTAGGAACTGCTGCTAGCTACTGGATTTGGGAGTAGCTTTTATGCTGCTCCACTTGCCTTGGAGTAAATACAACTCCAGATGAGAAGACCACAGATTGCAGTGACAGCTTTCCATCTCATTCTGCTATACCTATGGGACACTGGGCAAGAAAACACATACTGGTCTCTTACAATTAGAGGTGCAGATCAGCACCAATATAAAGAAAATTGACTGAACTGGAAATTGTTTTTTTTTTGCCTGATGTGGCTGATATGTGCCCCATGCACGTGGGGTGCCGCAGCACAACATGTAGGTGGCGAGGAGCACAGCCTGGCAGCTTGGAAAGCTGTGTCCAGCTGGTAAGTCTGTTGTGGTGGAAGGGGAAAGGGGGAGGCAAGAGGTGTGGGGGTGCAGATCCAGGCCTCCATGGTGAGGGAGGAAGTGGGGCTGTGGCTGGGGCAGGGGCTCCTACCCCTGGCCCCAGCCCCACTCCCTCCCTCCCTCACCGCAGGGCCTCAATCTGTCTCCTCCCCTGCTCCATGCCCTCTCTCGTCCCCCTCCCCTGCCACTCTTCAAGCTGCTGGGCTGTGGATCAGAAATCAAACTGGTATTGAGACCACCCAATTTAAGGAGGCATATCAGCTATCGGCATCGGCCCAAAAATCTCTATCGGGGTACCCCTACTAACAATCATCACATTGTATGACCACATTTTCCCCAATGCTTCTTGGGAATCACATTATGAACTGAATACCAAAATAATTCAGTTTTTCTTTATCAGGAGCTCAGATTGTAAAGGGGCACATAAAAGAACTTAGAGGGACAAGATTTCCAGTAGTCAGAGAAGAATACTGTTTCCCTAAAACCATAGGTTCCTTCCCCCAACCTTTCCAAGAGAACAGCTTCAGAATTTTGTCAGTCTAAGGGAGAAGATTTATTCCCGTATTAAGCAGAAACAGGAGGCTGACAAAATATTGCTTTACCTTTCTCCAATGAACTGCATAAGCAAAATTTAAAAATGCAAGAGCTTAGAGATCTTGTATATAACGTTTTATTAGCATTAAACTTCACATCCCAGATGTGGAAGTTCAGTAGGCATCATACTCATTTAACTGGAGAAGATAATTGAGGCAGAGAAATTAAATGCTTTTTCACACTTAAGTAAGAGCCAGGAATAAAACAAAGGAGTCCAGTTCCTCAGCCCTTAGTCTAATCACTGCACTCTACTCATTTAGGTATTTGGTACATGTCTTCACAGGAGAGATGCAAAACAGATAAGAATTTAAACTTAAAAGTTGGAAACCTGAACTAGCAAAAATATTCAGGTTCTTGTTCGAAGTAAAGTCAAACATCTCAGAAAATGAGGAAGTAATTACAATGGAGATAGATTATCTTCATAATAAAATGCAAGCCAATGCAAAAATATGAAAAAAATTGCAAAGCTGTACCTGAGGGAAAAAAAAAAAAGAATACTTGGGGTCAGACCCTGATCATTTACATACCGTTTCCTGCTGGATGATCCTTTGAAGATGTCGCCTCATAATAACTGATCCAAGGAATCGTTCAAGAGGGGAGCAAAGATAGCTACCAGCTAGTCCTGGCACAAGCCCAGGAGTAGGAGAGGGCAGCAAAAGAATATTCAAGGCACTGTGGGTGAGGATCGTGGGGATGGACGCAGCCCAAGAGCGCTGAGGTAGTTTACGAGGTGGAGGCATGTTGGTTGGCATTGTCTGGGAACCTACATGGGATAGAAGAATCCTCAATTACCAATAATGTTCTGAGTTAAACTGCAGTTTATGCCTTCAGCGTTTTGGGAGACAATTTAAAAAAAAAGGATCGAGCTAGGCTCAGAATAAATGTGGATGGGTTTTGAGCATGTTATGAGACTAAGTCTGAACATGGTAGAAGCTTCACCTTGCCTCCTGCCAACTTCATGCATTTAATGATTAGTCCTTGCTTTGTCTTCACAATTCACTTTTTTCCTTTGGGACTTACATCACTGACTACCCTAAGAACAGAGACAGGTATGGCAGCAAAGCAAAAATGTTCAGCTATTTTACTCAATGGTTAAAGAGAGTCACAGAGTTGTCAATAGCTTGGTTTCCAGTCTCAGTCTCAAAGCACAGGAAGTTAGCTAACCAGCCAGTCCGGCCAATTTTATACTGAACCTAATTGAAAAGTATAATTAAACCATCTTGTAGAAATGGTGCTCTAGCTTTGAAGCCTGAAGTTTCTCTCTCATGAAGTCAGATATGCTTTTCAAAAATTTCTTGGGACTGCTGCCATTTAGCTTGTTCACAGTAATAGGATTCATAGGTTTACTCACTGAATGAACTGCCGAAATCAAAACATTGATCTTAAAATTTACCATTTGCTATTATTTAGCATACTTTCCACTTTCTTCTAGAATTCACACTAGACCAAAATTAATACATACACTAGTAGATTCTTTTGCTATGTAGTGATTGTGTGTGTAAAAGGGTGCTAGCAAAAAGTGGAACTAGAAATATTCACCCTAACCACATCATACATTGTAAGTGTTAGTAGAACATACTTGTTCCAGCTCGCGGGGAATGAGAAGCATCTGGGACTGGAGAATGGAGGGAAGGGTTGGCTGGTGACATTCCAGGCATGCGTGCTGCTGGTGAGGGACCAGACACCTGAGGAGATCCTGGCCAATTCCCTGCACGCTGACTGGGTGACATCATTGTGTATGGTGAACTAGGATCTATCGTACCTGTGGAGGTTGCAAGGTTACTTTTGCAGGGATTTTTTTTTAATTATTTATTTTTTTTAAAGCAAAGCTATTCTAAACTAGAAAATATAGGTCAAACAAAATGGACCTGAAACAGAGTACTCAGATCTTAGTTTGAAACAACAAAGTATCCACAATCTTTTAACTCGCGCTTTACCTCCAGACAAATAAATAAGACATAAGAACGCAGAAGGCACCTTTACCACATTTTCTATTTTTTTCAAACATAACTTTAAACTAGAGCTTAAGAACTTCCTACTTCACCCAAGCTCCTAATGTCTACACTACAAACATGCCAGGCAGTAGCACGAATATGTTGAATTGCTCCATGCATGGTACCTCCCAAACTAGAGGCAATATAGCAATAGGGCTAATTTGTCACAGCTGAATAACAGTGATATTGGTTCACCTACAGCATTGCACAGACACAGTTAACACTGCTACTAGTCTGGGAGGTACTGCAACACAGTTGAGTGCACTACAATGGTAGTGGCTGCCCAGCCCAAAGCGATCCTTCCATGTGGAGTCCTGCTGACAACAGTGGACTTCTATGTATTACTATATGTAAGAAAGCTGGACACAGAAAAAGGCAAAAAGCTGTATTTCACTACAGTAAATGTCTTTACAACAACCAATTGTAGCAAAGCTTGCTTCATAAAGTCATCTGCATGTTCCTTAGCAAATATAATCTAACAAGTCCAAAAACACCACCAAGAGATGAGCCCTGCTGAACTTGCATGTGTCCACACGTTTGGCAGAACTGATAACCTGGACATGCACTTGAGCAGCCCCAAGTAGGCTGCTCTCCAGTGCTCCAGACACAGAGAGGGCCACTAGCTTCAGTCTCCCAGATATGCACCCAAGCTGCTTATACTGCCTAATTTGGGGGTTTAGGTATGCCTGGGAATGGTGCGAGTAAATGGGATTTCTCTTTCAGCATTGCTCCTAGGCTCAGTTGGAAGCAAAAGACTTGCCATCTATTGTCAAATAGTCCAATTAGTTCAATTTTTTTAGTGAGATCACAAATGTTCTGAAAAATAAATCTACTGTGTCCATCTACTGGTGACTTACGTAGCATCTAACGTGGTCATTATAGCAGGCAACATTAGATTAATTTTTCAAATAATTCAATAACTGAAATGAGGGCAAAAATCTGCTTTAAGGTTTTGGCAATATTTTTAAATTCTAGGATTCTTAAGTAACCAAGGGTAGGTTAAAGAGATTTAATTTTACTATTCTGACTGAAAGGGAAGGGGGAAGTAAATACACTTCAATCACATCTATGGATTTTAACTGAAGTTATATCACATTCCAGGTTCAGTTTCCCTACATTACTGACAGGGACAGTGAACAATTAACACTCAAATTCCAGTAGATTATAAATGCTCTAAAGTAAATCAAAAACAGCCACATGGCTACTACTAAGAAAATTCACATCTGTAGAAGCCAGTTCCTGAATACAATGATTTCTGTGTCAATTTATGTCAACTGGAGAGTCATAATTATCAGAAAGCTTATATATAGATATTTTTAAAGAGACACTCACCGTGTGGACTAGCAAAGTTAGCTGTCTGTCCCATTGTAATTCCAAGAGAAGAAGGTGAAGGAGTTGGACCAAATGAGGCCGGTGATGGAGCTCTTAAAGCACCACTAGGGGAACTTGCAGCATGTAGATTTCCTATTGAAGGCATACAAGCATCTATTCATTACACAACCCACACACACACACACCTCACAAGCTTAAGCACTCCTGTCACAATCATTGACATCTTTCTAAAAAGGAGAAAAAGTAGACTTGCTAGCATTTCCTCTTCCACCCAGAGATTAGAGTTTGCATGTGAATGGATTGCTATTGGTAAAGAGAAAGTAAATAGGGCTTTATTATTTACTGGTTCTCTCAATACAAGAACTAGGAGTCACAAAATGAAACTAGTAGGTAGTAAGTTTGAATACAACAAAGGAAGTCCTTTTTCACACTGTAATTTTTTGAAGTGTGGAACTTACTGTCACCAGATGTTGTGGAAGCCAACAGTTTAGCCAGATTCAAAAAGGGACTGGATAAATTCTTGAAGGAAAGGGGTAAGAGTGGCTATTGAGTATGAGAGTTAGGGATACTGAATTAACACTTCCTAAACTTTAAATAATAGAGGCTGCAAGGGAGAGTGGAACAGTGGGGGAAAAAGCCCCAGGCATACACAGTTTACTTCCCCTTTCAGCATCCACCGTTTGCCACAAGATGGACCTATGGTCTGACCCAGTAAATGACAATTTTTGTTTTTATGCCCTGCACAATGATCGAGACTATGGCATACTGATTCATGAAATCACCAAAGCCTACTTTAACTGCAACCATGACTTAAAATCCTATGGTCCACTCTACATCCATAATTAGGGGTCTGCCCAACCTGAAGAGGCAAACAGCCAGTTTCGCAGGCAGACTGTGGGGTAAGCCACCATTTTCACATGCTTATTGTGGTGGGGCCCCCAGGCCTCTCATTAGTCAAAGGGCCCCAGCACCTCCAAGCACCAATTAGTGGAGACAGTTGTGTTATATAACCTCTGCCCCTTGCTGCTGATTGGCTAAGAGGGCTACCTGTCAGCCAATCAGCAGTGAGGGGCAGGGGCAACAGCCATCTAACCTGCTTATCTTCTTGCTGGCAGCCCCCTTCAGCTGGGAGGACTACTGGGGAATCAACATTTTATTTTTAGTATTTTTTTTGTTGCATTTTATTTTTTTTCCTCTACCCATATTGTTCTTGGTAGCAAACCATTACCCTAACTGATTTATGGGTTCTAGCAAGAGCCTCACTAACTACAGTTAAGGAATAACCCTTCCCCCTTTAAGTTGTGTCTTCAAATGTTTGCAACTTTTGAACTTCATTTTGAAGCATGAACTTCAAGATGACCAGTCAGAGTGGTTTTAGACCAACACAGCTACAACTTTTATCCCCATGTTCAGTCTCTATTCGAACGTGAATTTTTTTTTGAGTAAACTTTTCCAATTTCATCAGCTCTTGCATTGCTCCAAGTTACACACGCCCAATCAACAATCAATTTCATAGCGAGCTCACGTGCTACATAACTGTGCGCTTGCCGAGATGTGCGCCAGCAGAGGCAAGCCCCTGGTGACAGCCCTCCGGTTTGCCTTCATCACACCATAAACTATCACACTTAGATAAACCATGGACTGTAAAGGTAATTTTCCACCGCTGGGAAAGGCCCAATTTTTCTGTGATGCTCTTTCAACTTAAGAGGAAAGGCCTCCCTAGAAGTTCATAGAACAAGGTGTTGGGGGTGGATATTAGTCCAAGGAAAAAAAGCATATTTCATCATCTGGGCCCTTCACCTTTCAGGAAAGAGCTTGGAAGTTCCATACAGAAAGCAAAAGGAAATGTTAAAGAATGCATAGTTAAAACACTGCAACATTAAAAGCCATGGTTATACATGCAAACTAACCCTCGAGTCCAATTGTTTAAGGAATAATGTACCTCAAAAACAAAAACAAAAAAAAAAAACATAACCCACGGGTAGGCAACCCCTGACAGGTGCCAGAGTCTGGCACACAGGCATTTTGCTTGTCATGCATGCATGCCTTGGGCCAGATGGCAGGGAAGGGGCTAGGGGTACACTGCCACAACAAGGACTGGGCCCCTCACAGTTTCCCCGCTGTCTACCTCTGGTACCTCAACATCTTACAAGTCAGGGTTACGGGTGTTTTTGCCACTCTACCCAAAAACATTGCCAACCCCTAATGTAACCAAACTTGTGTGCACTTTGGGCATCTTGTGGTACCTATATTAGATGCAGGCCATCAGTAGAAAGCATACTCTAAATCACTGTATAATGAAAAAAGGAAATGGTAATAGCTACTTATAGAAGATTACTACACACAGCAAAGACATTTACCTGGTGACTGCGTGTGAATCATTGAGGGAGATGGGGTCACTGTGTTGTGATAGGATGTGGGTGGTGAAGTAAGAGGGTAAGCTCCTGATGCTCCTGCTTGTTTTGCAAATGGCTGAAAACATCAACATAGTAAATGAGAATCTTCCAACAATTTAGTGAGTTGAAGTGACAGTGCTGCCCAGAAGCCTGATGGAGATTTGACCCCCGGTTCTCATATTTAAGTACCTTATCACATCATAATCCCTAAGTCTCCAGCATGAACTTTATTAGAGGTGCACCAATACATCGGTCCAATATTGAATTGGCACCAATATAAAGAAAACTAACTATCGGGAGTCGGCCGATAAATGCCTGTGCGTGTGCGCAGCCGCAGGGCAGCACATAGATGGCAAGAAGCACAGCCCAGCAGTTTGGAGAGCTGTGTGCAGCTGGTAAGTCCGCTGTTGTGGAACGGGAGGGAGGAGGGAAGGGGCATTGGGCGGGGGGAGGGAGAAAATCAAGGCCCCTGCAGTGGGGCAAGCACTGCCCAGCTGGGGCAGGGTATAGGATGGAGCTGCAGCTCATCTGAGGGGTACAAGGAAGAGCGTGTGTGTGTGGGGGGGAGGCAGCTCCCCCTGCTGCGCACACCCCAGGAGGGCCTGCCACAGCCCCTGCCTCATTCCTACCTCACCCCCATCTTTGTCAATGTACTTTTGAGGGAGTTAATTCTTGGCTTTGAGAGTCTCAGAAATGATTGAAGTCTATGGTATACACAGGGGCTCACTATCATTGAAAATGGTTTGTAACACTAAACAATAAAAGAAACTGTAGTAAAACAGGGTCC